ACCACTATCGGAAACCGAAACAGTATTTTCAGAAACCGATTTTTCTATAAAATGCCACTTCGTCTCCAAAAAGGTATCCGAGAATACCTATTTAGTTTTCGGATTATCTTATCGGAAACCAAAACAGTTTCCGAGCTTCGAAAACCTACCAAAAGGTATTCCAGGATACCCTTTGGGTTTTCGAGATATTCGATGGGTACCCAAAAGGTATTCCAGCATACCCTCTCGGTTTCCGGCATACTCTCTCGGAAACCCACAAGATTTCCGATCACTAGCAAATGCAAAACGCATACCAATGATGGTGTTTCCAGTTTCTAAAGTTGCGACATAGGTTTTTGAAATAAGACGTAACCCGACACCAAGCCTCTCAATCAGGGATGTGGCGACCATGGGGTGCAGGAGGGTGCACGCCCCCCACTTTTAGAAAATTTTCGCTTTTTCCCAGCAAAAATTGTTAATTTTTTTGAAAAAAAAGGTCGTGAGATGGAAAAATAAGGATCTGTACCCCCCCACTTTTTAAAATTTCGTAAATGCATTATTTCATGTTCAAAAATTTTTTCAATACACCCTCAACTTTTCAAAAAATTTCTTTTGCACCCCCCCCCCCCCCCCCCCCCCCACTTTTTTCTCTTCGCCACATCCCTGCTCTCAATTAATTCAGTTCGTTATTATTTATCTTATCATCACCGCTTTTAAGAATCACAGATGATATCCTTACAATATTTGGTAGCTGAGATTTCCAATACATTTCATGTAAAAATTAATACTATTCTTCTACTCTATCTTAGACGATAGATGCAGACTTTAATATAAACGAATGTTCTACATATTTCATATAGAAATTGGTATTATTTTTTCAATCTATCACATATAATAGACTAATAATCTTATATAATCGACATTTCAGTAACGCGAATATAGAAATCTATATTATTCTTTGTGTCTATCAGAAATGACAGACTTAAAATTTTATATATTCAAAATTTCTATATGTTCAATGTAGAAATCTATTTTATTGTGTTAGTCTATCAGAAACGATAGACTTATAATTTTACATACTCTAAATTTCTCTATATCGAATATAGAAATCTATGTTATTGTTTTAGTCTATCAGAAATGATAGACTTATAATTTTACATACTCTAAATTTCTATATATCGAATATAGAAATCTATATTATTGTTTTAGTCTATCAGAAATGGTAGACTTAGAATGTTACATACTCTACATTTCTATATATCGAATATAGAAATCTATATTCTTGTTTTAGGCTATCAGAAATGATAGACTAAAAGTTTGGATAGATTATATTTCTGTGTGTTGAGATTTATGAGAAGTCGGCTAGGGAAAAAGCTGTGAATAGTAAGTTGAAAAGTTGGCATGGAGTATGTTGCATAACCTTGTGGAGTCGGAGAATATGGCGTTGTTGGATGTTGTACAGAACTGATGATCGGCTCTTAGGACCTTGGAAACCGTTAATCAGTTACCGAGATCGGGTGCTATTGTTGGGTGAATTTCGGGTTTCCGAGTGTTCTGAAACCTTCTATCGGAAACCCTTAAAAGGTTTCCTATAGTAACATTTTCGGAAACCCATTATAAGTTTCCTAGGAGACGGAAATTTTTTAGAGTGTATAATATTTTCACTGATCAACTTCAACTAGCAAAAGCTTTTATATCTGGTAAAAAATCTCCAATCGAATATCTCCGTAACATCTTATTCTTATCCATAACAGCCCAATCAAATATTCGTCTATATCTCGATCAACATTCATTAAATCACATTGGTAAGTGACAGATCAAAAATAAACAAACTGATATACAATTTTCTTAGTATAGGTTTCGATCAACCACCATATGAATGGTAAGTGATGTTTATTAATATAAACAATTTAATAGAGGATTTTTTTATTTTAGATCTGATCCAGCAACATATGAATGGTAAGTAATATTTATTAATATAAACAATCTAATAAATGATTTTTTTATTTTAGGTTCAGCTCAAGCATCATATGAATGGTAAGTGATGTTTATTAATATAAATAATCTAATAAACGATTTTTTTATTTTAGGTTCACATGGGGTGTCTTTTCTGAGAGAATTATGTTTGGTTCCGGTTTCAGATGAGCTTTCCTTGATGCATTATGATTATGCTTCATAAGAGTGCTAAGAATTTAGAAAAGTGCTGAAACACTTTATAAAATGAGTCATCAGCACGAGTCGGATCTCAATACGTACGATTATCCAGGTTGGATAGTATAACACTTTGGAAAGGCGTGGTTGTGGACTACAGAACCGTTTGCGATGAATTCGCTGCAGCCTTTCGAGATATCATGCAGGTTTCGATATGGTTTTCCGCAGACAGAACCATTTTTAATGAACAGTATGAAATGGTTTTTGAGGTTGACTCCAGAACCTTTTTTCATGCAGAACTATTTGTGGGGGTTCTGTGTTTTACCAGATCGCAGAACCCCTAAAAAGGTTCTGTGGTACTCCTTTTTTTCTTTCAGAGTAGAACAGCTTTCAGATGTTGTGAAATAACGTAAAAATTAACCAAATACTAAAAGTATGCTAAACTTTTTTCCCTACTCTATATTACAGTGTTTAGTAATTTGACTATAACATCATCAATACTCAATGAAAATCAAAAACTTTTTTAACCAAAATGATCAGCGAAAAAAGCTCTACAAAGTCTGATATGAGAGAAAATTTTCAGAGTATCTTTATTATTCGTTCATGCGTAAAAACAAAAAAGTACATGTTTTTTTGGCGCCGCACTGTATCATTGCAAAAACATCGTATTTACGAAGAATTATTATCAACATTACTCTGCGTCAGCAGGCAAATTTCTGCTTTCTTTTGAAGCATACATATTGCTCCATGTACGATTTTCGTTTTGTCTTTTGATGTGTATTTATTTACTTTTGATCAAAAGGAAATCGCTCTCCTATAACTACAATATATTGACTCGAAAAACTTAATTATGAACATTTTCAAATTCTTCCTAGCAATTAGCATTCATGTTCCTGCGTGGTGAACAGCTAACTGACTAGCATTATATCCTCGAGCTTTAATTGAATTTCTCATGTAAGTAGATGGTCGAATGGTGAAAAATGCGTCTTATAAAACAGAACTATGCATATATGAATCATATTTCTAGAAAAGACTACTATGTGTTCATGCATGGTTGCTATATGCGCTTCGTTTCTTCATCATTCTATAGTTCTCTAGCATCTTCATGAAAAAATTCTTTACACAAACAATCGTATATTCACGCATGCAATAATCAAATGCGTGTATATGCACAAACTTCAGTACATTTAAACACAATTATAGTTTATTCTGGAATATGCCCACACCCATGTCATGTAAAACCAATCCGCGAAAATATATGCAACTTTGTACGAACAGTTACGTGCATTTAAGAGGGCGTCCATGAGACCATCGAGGAATTTTTAAAGGACCCATACTCCCGAAAATTTTGATCCCCTCATTTTATTTGTGGAATTGATAGCCCATGAGGTGAAGCTACTATACCCAAAATATTAGCTCGATTGATCATATAACAAAAAAAGTTATGAGGACCATACTGATGACTACACACTGATTAAATCAAAATTGATACTACGTAGTCATCAAGCAAAAATCAGTATTTTGAGAAATTATCTCTCAAAGTTAGTTGATCCCAGAAATTTGAATCGTGCATCGAATGGGACAATAAAAATGCTAGAAAACCAGCCTAAAACAAAAAGTTTTTAATCCGTAAAAAAAATTCGTTTTTTGGGAGTATGGGATTTCTCGATATTGTAGTGGACTCTCTCTTAAAAAGCATTCGCCTTTGCCCGGGATAGCAAAATTTCTACTCTATCGATTCACTCGCATGCAAACAAAACAAGAAACTATTAACAATTTTCGATTTCTTTTCTCTCTATCGCTAGTGAGTTAATTATTCGGCATCCTGCATTCAGAATGATTGAAACTCTTGGATAAACTCGAGCATATTCTTAGTCAATTGACTTATGGATTTCAAATTCAGAGACGTAGTGCAGACCAGAAAAATATTCAGATATTTCTTCCATTCCTTGCGACTCATCGAGCGTGTTAAAGTTTATAAATTTTATTCCTTACAAAATTGATTCGCGTTTCAAATATCCTTGACAGATACATTTGCTAGAAAGCTTTCAAAGACATTAGACATAAATTTACATAGTATGGATACCAAAAGCTAACGACTTATCATTAAACGAGGCGTGCTGATTTGTTATTTTTACGTTGATAAAGCAGCGGTAAGACGACAGACTTACTGACTCATACCGAACGTTCCAACAACACTTGTACACACAATACATTTTCCAATCATTATGAACTCAAGATAACTACAGTTCTCATGAAATCATTACTGTCATTTTCCCTTCAAA